CAGTTCAAATCATTCAACCGCCAAGGTACCTTACCTAGTTTAGAAATAGTTCTTATCCACTTCGTGGGATGTCCTAATTTACTGTCTTTTTGGGTCCTTATTAAGGTCTGTATTGCGGACAGTTTTTCTTAGTATTGCTGGCGCAATCGTGTAGGTCTGCGGGCTTGTGCGGCTAAGTGTGGACACCAAGAATACTGTCTCGGTTTTTCGTCCTCTACAGTTAAACGTAATATCCATTACTGGTAAGATTTTGCTACCTAACCTGAACAGTAGACTGGTAATTTGGGAAGACCTCGACGCGCGATTCTGAATTCGGTCGCCTCGAAGGCACTAGCTTCTGCGCTTGAGTCCAGTTTGGTATCGAATTACAGCCGCATATCTGACTTAACCACGTCTGTTTGGCGATTGATCATTATTCATGTAGCCCAGCATTCATCCTGTCACGCAGACTTGATGAGTGTAGTGTCTGGCATAATCTACCGGTTGGTTATTTTCGATTGATCCCCGTCGGTTATGTGAGTGCCTAATGTATGAGTACGAGGTTGAGATGGATGAATTCCATGTGCAACTGCCGCTCCAATCACTGTCCCTTATGCAACGATTTGCATAGCTTCGCACAGCACAAAATGTCCCAAGATATGCTGCCGCGCCTCATTTACTTCATTTATCAGAGATCGCAGTGTACCTGCTGGCTAATCTCGCCACGCTGCCGCATGCGTTTCGTGATCTAATTCAACGAATGCAAGGGTTTTCACTGGGTCAGGCAAATGGTGATCAGCCTAAATCGAAGGAGTAGGCATCTGATGAGACATGTCACAACCAACTATAACTGGAGGTCCTTACTGAGATCGCAACTAGGGCGTATATAATCCGCAGGCAGCATAGACTGCATAACCTATACATGAACAGGTATTGGTAGCATAAAGAGACATGGTCGCTCCGAATCGTGAAACGGTCTTTAAATTAGGTTGAGCGACTCACTCCTAGAGGAGCGATGCTGGGCTTTGTTTTTTTATTGAATATATCACGAGAAATTTCCCAGACCTAATCATGTGGGCTCTGCGTGTCACGAGAATGGTATTTATTTCCATTGGGACATCCAAACAATGACTGCGCAAAGCAAATTTTCTCCCTTCGAAAGTCGTGTGAATGATAATGAACAAGAGAGGTGTTCGAGAAATACAATATTTTTATTTAAGGTTTAAGGCACGAATCCAATTTCAAACGCTTCTTGGCTGGTGACATTTGCACATCGCCGACGAGGCAGTCATTAGAACCATAAGCCTGACGGGATGTAGGACGACTTAATACTTTTCCACCTGAAAGGTCCGTTCCGGACATATTTTTGATAGATTTAGAAACCTTGCGTTCGAACCCACGTTTTCTTTGCCCAGTAAGTGCTGTTCGTAGAGTAGAAGCTGGCCGGAGCTGGTCGATAGCGGGATCACGACCAACGTGAACACGGGCGACAGTGCTACCAAACTCATCTAACTTTCGATTCTTTCGTTTAGAGCACATGCTCGATTTGAGCTGGGATGGAGTTCGGATAGACCGTTTCCATTTATCCTATAATGCAAGAATAGCAAAGTACGGTTGTGATAAATGATTAGAACATGAATTTATTAAAAGGTTAGCAAAATATACAGGCGATAATGAACTGCTTGAACGATCAAAGTGGGG